TGTGCTACTCTAGTCTTGAGATGCTCTGAGGGGCTCTTAATGAAATGGAGGTTCCCTGAGGAGACTTGTGGGATTTTGATAGCAACACTCTTCATGATGGTTCCAACAAAACCACAAACCCTGAGCAGAATAAATCTGTCAGGAAGTCTTACATGTTCCTTACCTTAAGTGTGCCTGTACCTTAAGACCACACTCACTTTGCAAAGATAGGCAGCCAGGAAGAGACACTGAGACTCTTGCATGGTTGATTAAAAAAAAAATCAATCAATCAATCAATAATTGATTAAGTAACACTGCTTCTCAGCCATACAGAAATGGCCTGGCATCCACATCTGTGACAGCACTTCAGAGGACAAATCACGCTTCAAATGCTTCTGGGAGGGCCTCCAGTTTGTTACATTTGCGTGACCATCTCTCTTGAGGATACATCACTACAAGTGGTTCTGTTTTCTTGCTGAATTTGTCAGTTCTGAAACGCAGAAGGGGGCTACAGGATCCAGTTGTAGAGAGTAAACTGGACATGTTTGAGAGCTGTGCTAATTTTGAGGGCATTAATTAAAATTCTAAAGAAATCACGAACGGTGCAGCCCTAACTGTGAGTAGAAACTGCAAGGGGCCAATGCATGAAAAACAGGAAAAAAAAATGATTTTCTATGATATAGGAAGAATTTTGCTGATATTTAAAGCATTAGATTTTTTGAAGTATTGACTCAATTTCTTGCTTTATAATTTCATAGAGCTGTTAGGGGTTTCTACTTTATATTATTTTTCAGAAAGTGCATAATGACCTAAAATAATTCTGGATTGCATAAAAAATGCATGATACATGCCCAGTCAGTGTGCCAAAATCAACAGTATTCTGGAAGTTTTTGATTGCAGCATAGAGGAATTTACATGAAATTTGAGAAGTCAGTGTATAGTTAAAGGCAAAGGGTTTGGTCAAGAAGGGTTCTTGTCAGAGGAGTTTAGGCAGTGATGTACTGCAGTAGTTGGCTTGTGATTGGGTCTTGGAGTGGCAGAGATGAAGTCATGTCAGGTGAGACGCAGCTTGAGCCAGCGTGCAGAGCTGAGAGCGTTTGCCAGTGGACTTTTTATGTGATATCCAGGAAGAAAGCCCAGACCAGACTGGTTGACGCCCAAACAGCACTTATTATTGTGTATAACCAGATAGGTCTGTGAGTGGGCTCTGTCCTGGGCGGTAGGTAGATCGAGCACTCATTCAAAGCCAGTTCCCTTCTGTCCTTCACACTCGTCTTGCTGAGTTGTCTCTGACTCCAATATCATGTGGCATTATTTGAGAAGCTGTCATCTGGAAAACTGGTACTCATCGTGAAGGTATATTTCCAGAGAGAGTTTTGGGGTGTCCTGTTGACTGGGTAGGTGTCCATCCTGAACCTGTTAGCTTAGGCTTCTTTCTAGTGGGAAGTCTACCGCTTCCCCTCTCATAGCTATGGTAGGGTCACCTTCACTGACGTCAGTATGGGGGTGGAAAGGTGCACAAAAAGAAACTAAGACAGGATTGACGAAGGTAAGCAGAGCAAAGGGACAGTGTTCTAGAAGAGCCACTGTCGGCTAAAGGAACAAAAGGGCCTACTGATGCTAAGAATCACTTCTGAGTACTAACAGGAACTTGACACTGGAAATTTTTACTGTCAGTGCATTGGCAAAGCTGGGACAAGGATTTAGACTTTATGAGGAATTGTAAACAGACTGGACCCTGGGAAAGTCGACCTGTCAGCTACTTGCAGAATGTACTGGAGATTGGGTACCCCAGAGGGAAGTAGATGACCTCTGTTGGAACTCCTCATAATTCAATAGCCACAAAGTCCATAATATATCGATTGTGTGTTGTGAACTGAGGAGAATTCAGAGAAGGCATCTAAGATTTGATCGTGGCCCTTTATAGCGTCTCTAAGACGGGTAAGAAAACAGTCATGATCTATGCAGGATACAGGACATGCACTACATACCACATCGGTGTGGGAATGGGGATGGACAAACCTCCTAAAATGAACCACAGTCCCCAGAGCTAGAAACAGAATTACTGTGGCTCAGGGCACAGAGGCTTATGGGAAGAAACATCTCTATGTGGCCTTTGGCTGCAGCCATGATAACTAATACGGTTACCCAGATAGGCAGGAAACCCTCATTTCTGTGGTGAGCACTAGGCCTAGGAAGTCACAGTCCCCCAGATTCAGAGTAGGTTGGACTGGGTAGATGCTACTTAATATTCCCCAAGATTTTTTCTGACCATCAGCATGGGGGTACCTTCCGCATCTGATCTTGGATACTATCTGCAGTTAGCTGGGATGAGAACAGAGCTGGAGGGAGCCGTGCACACATGGAGACTCTGTCTTAGCCTGTTACAATAGATTACAGAGGAAATGCTTGCTTGGGCCTTGCGCAAGAGGCAAGAGTAATATTCTTAGTGTGGTTCATGGGCTAATCCTTCCGCATACTGAGCCTCAATCTTAGTCCTATAAAGCCAGAACACTGGGCAGCACTCTGAAGCATCTAGAAATCCAGTAGAAACTGCCATCTGACCCTTCCTCCAGAACATACAATCACCAATCACCTTTCTGGAAAGTGCCGGGAAATTTGGGAGCTTGTAGGCAAACAGGTTTATCTAGGAAGGTGATCATCTAGAACGCTACTAATTAAGGAGCTAGGCAGGACGTGTGGCATTGAGCACTTAGACAGCAGTGAAAGGCAGATGAACAAGGAAGAAAGACGATATGACCATCCCAAGAGAGTCTGAAGAAAGGAAGGTTAAAGTGAGGGACCCTCCAAGCAAAGGCTCGGCACGAGCGCTACCAGCTTCTGTACCAACCGCATTCTGTGTTTCCGGGGCAGCGTCCCACTTCAGTGGCGCATGACTTAGAGCTGCTGAACATTCAGCTAATCATAGACGGCTAAGGAACATCAAGACCAAAATGTCTGAAGGCCCCTGAGAAGTCAACAGGCAGAATCACAGTTTAAGTCCCTCTCTGTTCAGTCTGCTTCTGGATAGCTGGTGAGGAGAGATGCTAGCTAGGCAAGGGCACTGAGTCGGGGAGGGGAAGTTCTCTGAGTCATCGTGTGATAGGGGCATGCTTTTGCTTCCCTGGCTTCATTTTAAAGCCTTATCTTGAATCAAGTTACAAAGGCAAAAAGAAGGTGCTTCACACCTCTGCAGGCCCTGGCAGCTTCAAAGTTGTCTGCAGTGATTCTGTACCTGTGAACAGAGGCCATGCCTGCTCCTTGCAGTGAATAGTGACTGAGCTGAATGAATGGGCCACACAGGGCAGTGCACATTCCCGGTGCGTCCCTCCCTGTCTGACCGCCTGTGTTCCCCCATCAGCATTCTGTCCGGGGCCAGTGAGTTTCTCATCCGCAGAAAGGTAGAAACACAACTATATTTTTTATGACCAGGAGACGAGTTTATATTACCCTTGGATTAACCACAGAATGCTTTTTATGTCAGACAGACTAAATAGACATCTGTTTTCTACACACACCCAGCTCCACACAAACAGAGCATTCTCCGTTTGCTTTGAAAAGCAAAATACCATGTGTTGTGACTTTACAGTGTTTTAAATAAAGTTAGGAATTTAGATTTGTGAGGCTGAAGTTTTCATGAAGTCGGTGGGCATGAGACCCAAAACTACACATATGAGGTCCTTTAAAATTCAGCGAGGGGCAGAATCAAGGCAGACATTTCGACAGCAGCCATTGGGTCGTGTTTTAACTGTTCTGTGAAGCGAGAAGTGAATTATTAAACTTTATCGCCCTCGTTGGCTCCTAATGCTGTTGCTCGGCATGTGGATCGTTTTTAAAGTGGAAACGGCCAGCCTAAGTAAGCCATTCTTGATGCCCCGGTTCTACACGCTGTCTCTATTTTGCTCTTTATTACTTCATTTTGGAACTTTGATTGCTTTCTTTTAGATCTAAGATTGTTCTAATGCTATTCTGCAATCGTACGAGGGGCTTAGTTTTCACTTTGTTCTCAGAACCAGGCTGGCTATAAATTTATCTCAGTTCTTTGAAGAAACCAACAGTAAAATTTCCAAGGGGGGGGAGAAATGGCGGCAGATATCCTCGCAGAGTGAAAGTGACCTCACAAACAGAGCCGCCTCCAGGCTACAGCCCTGTAAAGAGGGACTTTCAGACAAGACGCCTTCGCCTTCCACTGTGACCCATGTTCAGCATTTTTCTTCCAGCTTTGGGCCTACTCTTCTGCTTTCTCTTAAGGTTTTGCTATCATGGGCCAGTCCGTCCCCACACCCATTAAATATGAGATGAAGTCACACTGTGTCCCCATCCTAATGCTGTAATAACTTCTGGGGTCACAGCCAGGTAGCACATCCCAGAGGTCATCTGAGGTTTCCTTGGTAAAATCAGGCATAGAAACGAGAGGTTAGAAAACTCAACGAAGACAAAAAACTAAACAAAAAACCCTTCACTTTTATGAAAATGGACTTTGTTAAGTGAAATCCATAGGACGTAGTCATGGGGTTTAATTTCATTCCAAGTTATGTTTTGAGGCATTGGTTTCGTTAAAATTCACTCCACCCCTCCCAAGGTGTAGCCACATCCCCTCATCAAGAGACAATAAGATTCTTTAGAGTGAAAATCGCTAACCCAGCAGGGAGAGCTTGAGACTGTTTCCACCTCTGAGGACTCAGCCTTATTATTCCTGTGCCCTAAGCTGCCTGTTGGCCTGTGTGACCCAAGGGGCTTCCTTACCTGTCATACGCAAGGGACTGAAGCCCCTCTTTACTATGGGGATGATTCTAGAAGCCACTGGGTGATGGATAGGAAGCTGGTAGCGCTGGATGAGTGGCGACCTTCATGACCAGGTCTCTTAACCAGCTCCCCAAGAATGGTGACTGTTGACATAAGTGAGCCGTGATGAGTAGGTTGGCTTGGCCAGCATACTTTCCAACTGCAAAGTATCTAGAGTCTCTCCTGCCATGTCCCCTGGCCTAATTGTCCTCTTTCTCATTTTATGCCCCTGCTAGACCACCGCTCTTGATAAGGAGAGGCAGGTTTTCCGACGAAGACGCAACCAGGATGTGAGGAGCCGATACAAGGCACAGCCAGCTCCACCAGAACTCAACTCGGAATCAGAAGACTACTCCCCCAGCTCCTCTGAGACTGTCCGCTCCCCTAATTCACCCTTTTAATAAGACCCTTTTACTCCAAGCCCTAGCTTAACCCTTTTAAGACTCTGAGATTTCCCCCTCCCCCAAACTTCTGTAAAACAGGTTCATCTGATCTATCTAGCACTCAATGCGTGAACGGCAGAACAGAAAGTATGTTTTGGGTACCTTTGTAGCAAGCTCCCTTTACTGAATGAGAAGGCATGTGGTGTTTGTGACGATGGTAATTTGCTGCTAATAGGGGTCCTTAAAGGGTTAAGGCCAATTTGCAATTTTTTTTTTAAATATAGAAGCAATGAATGTTTTCATCAGTCGAGCTAGGGTCTGCAATAGGTAACAGCACCTGTCAGCCCTCTTGAGTGCACAGAATTTCCTTTAGAATCCTTGCTGGGTAATTTTCCAGAACCTTGGGTATATTCACAGACATCTCTGGATTTTGCTGCAGACCAAAGGGCGTCGTTAGGACCCTAAAATGTCCACACACAAGACGAGCAGGGAGGATGATCCGTCGTGGATCCTTCTCTGTGGATTTGGAGCACAACAGGTTTTGTAACGTTCGCAGATGCACCCCTCATTCCTAACCATTTTACGAAGAAGGGACTCCCTTCCCTAAGTAGTAAGGTGGTTAGCTGCAGCGGGTTCTCTGCTTTGATCGGAGGGAATTAGGTCTGTGGCCGCCTCACCCAAGTGATGGACGGTGTCTCTCCCTGTCTCCATACAAAGATGTGCTGATGACGCCCCCGAAATGCTGCTTCCCCATTAGCTGCTGCTAGTGCCAGGCAGACCCTAGGGGAACCACCTAGCCTTGGCTTGTGCTCGGTGAGTTGGGGTCTGTCTGCTCAGAATCAGGAAAGATCTAGAAATTACTGGTGACAAGAGCAATAACTTACCAGGTGCTCTACAGGGCTGGCATTCCAACCAGCGAGGGAACGCAAGGTCCCGTGTTTCCTTCTTCTCAGCTGCTTTTACACGGGACTGTAGCCACCAGTGGGAAACCAACACGGAATTCGAAAGGTCTGGGGCGAGAGGGAGCAAGAGGCGATGCTTTGCAAAGTGGCAGATGAGAAAGTACAGTGGGAACACAATCCAAGAGGGTCTAAGGATGAGTTTCAGAGAAACAAGCCAGTTCCATGAGTCATTCTAGGCACCGGCAAGTCTCGCAGAAGACACCCGAGGCTGAAACCGCCATTCCCCCTCCTGATTTTCTTTACTGGGGCTTGGTCTCCAGTCATCCAGGAGAGATGTGCCGCTTTTGTGGTGTCGGGCCGGGGCCTGATTGGGATTCATTTTTCACTCTTGCTACCCAGTCTGTCTCCCTAGACCCGTGTTTCTTTGGGAGCTGATCGCATCTCAGAATATGGGCTTTGTTGCTTCCAGTTTTTGTGTCCTTGATCCAAAAGGATTCAGGGGTGCCTGGGAAGCCTGACCCAATGCAAATGTTGCCCTAATGTTTTCTCAGCTTTGACCCAGGGAAGAATAGTGATAGACTCCAGAATGGGTACAAGTGGTCTTTCCTTTCTCATTCTTATTTTGAATGTATTTTAGTGTCTTGAAAGTTACGAACAACCTTTCCATCGTCCGGTCTTTCTTTTCGAACTCCACGCTGATCTTCAACTATTGTATTTATACACAGTCTTTATGTTCTATGCATGTATGGACTTTTACATGACAGAATCCCACATTTGCTGGTCTTCTATATTTAAATCAACATCTATTTAGTTTTTTTTTCTTTTGAGAGCCCAGAAATGATAGCACGTAAAAGTACAAAGTCGTATAAACCAGCATATTCTTTAAATTGCATGTTGGGAGGAGACAGAGCACAGACCACCAGGAAGGGTTCTGGTTTGTAGACAGAGTTCATATTGGTGAAGGACCTAGAAGTGAGCAGAAATCACTACTTTCTCTGGGACAGAAAGACAAAGCACTTTTATTCTAAGATTAACAAGCAATGGCATAGCTGAGCCTCAACGCCACGTATGAGACTATAAGATACTGTATGGGCAATAGCAGATTGCCACCTTCTCTGAATTACTGCTTTCCCCTTGGTCATTAACATACGGCCATAGCATCCAGTGCTACAGGTCCATAGTGAGGGCTCTGGTTTTTATCTATCATCATTTATGGGAACTCAAGAGGCTTCCTCATCATGCCGCAGAAGGACAGATCAGAAGACTTCTGAGCCCATTCAGAAAAAAAGATGGCAGTACACCCCTATAGAGTTTCAGTGATCTGTGCTGAATAAACAGTGGGATCTGCCCTGCCAAGTAGAAAGATTGAGCAGGCAGATGGACTGCGGTAATTCAGTCGTCTTTCCAGCATTAAGCTACCAAGATCTTAGACATCAGAGGTGCAGCTCAGAGGGCGAACAGACAGACACGCGTGAATGACTCTGTGCGCCCAGACTGCTTTGGCCAGCCAACACTAAATTCTCCCCCTCTTCAACATTCTCGGAATAGTTCCAGTTTGAAATAATTAAGCGGTGGTGTTCTTTGAATTTCTATAACCAAATCAACCCTATTATTTGATATTATTTTTATTTTGTGTATCATAGAACAACTATGTGCTATGATGGCTGTGTATCTCTGTAATTATTCACTTAACCATCATGAGTGTTTCCATATTTTTGAGTATTGAATATAACTCTTATGGTGGTAGTCTGGTGATGGGAATTGCCCTTCCTTTACTAACAGGACCAGCCCTGTGGTATTTAAAGGAATCGTTCCATTTGAGAGTAGAGTAGTTGAACCACCCTTCTCTCCTTGCTTCCTGTAAGTCAATTCTGTGGATGAGACCCTCTCATATTAATGAATACATTTACCCCCTCCACACTGTAGCAGAAGCCACTTTCTTCATCGTGATCAATAAACGTGTGATTTGTTCTGAACCATTAGAAGGAAAAGTTAAGAACCTCGGTCCCCGGAAATGTTCCGGCCGTGCCCTCATCGGCCGCACATGTGGTGCGTGTGTATTAACACGAGCGGAGGAGGGAGTGGGGAGCAACAGAACACACTTGATGTCTTGCGTTCACTGAGATTTCCTACAACCTGCTTAGCTCTCTTATGAGTGGTGGTTAACAGGTCTGTCAAATACTGTTGAAAGAGCACAGTAGATCGGTGAATGAAGGGCTAAAATTGCAATCCTTTACCCTTTGAGGCATAATTCAGTTGTGAAAAAAAATAGAAAGGAAGAAAGAAAGAAAGAAAGAAAGAAAGAAAGAAAGAAAGAAAGAAAGAAAGAAAGAAAGAAAGATTGGCTCAGAGGGTCACAGGGCTTCCGAACTACCAGGACGCGACCGCGTTAAATCACGGTTGTTTGCTGGCCGAAGGCGTTGTTAGACAACTCTATCCTTTGTGCTGAAGTGCAGTTGTGCTGAGGGAGAGCTTTCTTCACTTTATTGTGTTGCCGCTGGCCCTTCTCTGGGTAAAGCCCTGTCAGCATTTCCAAGATAAACTCCTATTCTGCAAGGTTTTTAATTTGACCATAAAAATGTGCCTCAGGCTCAAGTCTGCTATTCAGGGCCTGTCCTAAAGAGTGGGGGGCACATCTCAGGCCTCTCAACTTCTTCCCAACTCCGGAGTAAAACTCAACATCTGGTACGTTGCCCTCATTGTGATTCCAGAGTTTCAGAACGCCCCAAGACCCAAGATGGTAGTTTTAACATAATTATTCATTTGAACATGCTTTTTTTAAAAAAATGGATCACCTAGCATATATTATAAGGTATTTTCTATTATTTGTAAGTCTTTTAAAATTACTGCTTGATTTTTTTAAATCTTTTCTTCCTTTTTTTCTTTCTTTTTTATTTCTCAAAATTTTTTTTTATGAACTTGAAGTTGATCAGCTAGAAGGTCCACTTTTTTCATGAGCTGTCTGACACTTCCATTAGTAATTTGGAAAAAAAAACAAAAAACAAAAAAAACCCAAAATACCTCTCTGACCTAACAGAGCTTTGGTTTGAATGCTGCGTTGAGGGTTAGACACACACTTCTTTGGAAATCTGGATTTCCGAATTTAGCCATCAAATTTCACGAAGCCACCCTTGTCTGTGGGGAGAGTAGCAGCTAAAAGTGAAAGTGCCCCACAATTAACACTTTTGTCAACTCAGATTTGAAGCCAGCGTAAAATACCACTTCCTACTCTCGTGTTTAAGGGCAAATAAATCAGGGAAACTTGAGGACATATGAAACATTTGGTGGCTGCAGAAGTACTTCCCAGTTGGGCTCTACGGTGCTTACACATGGAATAGTTAAGAACTGGGACCCCGGGATGTCAGATGGAAGCTTTGGTTCGTATGTAATTACATACAGACGGGGGAGGTGCTCTGGGCCCTCTCTTCTTTTTTAATCATCTCAAATATGCAGCCCGCCAGCCAGTAGCATTAAGGGTCATAAACCAGTGGGAAACAGGAAATCTAAGGTAGAGGTTTAGCATGCCTCTGCTGAGGGCTTTCGGTTTGTTTGCTATTGTTGCTGACTCTAATGGGAGGCCTCTGTGGTCATTTTTCGGGAAGTGAGCATCTAACTGGCAGGTGTTGTGGTCATGCGGTTTGCCCATGGCGACAAATGAGGGATCCGGAGTCCTTGATTTCCGTCAAGAAAAGGCAATCTCTCTCAACTATACCTGGACATTTCCTCAACATTTTTTTTTGGGGGGGGGTCAATTAAACTGAGACCCTTAATGTTACTTTAATGTAAAGTTGTATATTTTTGACTGTGACATACTTTATTAATTTAAAGTAATTAGTGCTTAAGCCTTCAGAACTGTTAGTATTAAGAGTAGGATTTTAAGTGGTGTTAAACATCCTAACAAGTTCGTTCCAAGTCAATCAGCTGTAGTCAGGAACAGACCTTGACTGGTTTTTGGGGGCAACTTCTCACTTGCCCTTGACCCTAAATCCTTGGTGTGTTTGAAGAATAAATAAAAAGAGATTGAAACTGGTCCAAGGTTAGAGTCACATCCTTGACAACTTTAAAAAAAAATTATTAGGAAATTAATATTAGCCTTTTTCATTCTGACTGAAAGAAAGTTATTAAAGGATTAGTTGTGCGTGAAATTAAATAGTATTTTGCTTCTGCATACTGAAGAAGTGGGTTGGGGACTTGGCACATTTAACAAGTTTCCCGAAAGGTTTCAATTTGGAGAAAAAAAAAGTTCAGCATTTCCTTTGCGATTCTGATTTCGTCACTTGCTGCATGGATCCGATGGCGTAGGTTAGTGTCTGGTTTGGGAATCCCAATGAAATAACTTTCAAACAATTTGTACCCATGGTTAAAGGTGGAATGAGACCCAGTTTCCCCCCAATCCTTCAGTTTAAGCTCATAAATTGTAGGTGAATGTGGAATGAAATCATCTGTGATATATGATGTTCATTTACCAAATGAGCTCTTTTGATGTTGCCTGTTTTTATGTAAAACACGTTCTTAAACTAATAAAGTAATATCTCTTGGTGTACACAATGCCCTTCGCTGCTGGGCCAGCTCTTCGGTTTATGTTGCCATCATGGAGTAAAATTTCATTTCAGTTCAATTCAGAATTGACACATTCAGTCCAGGGAGGAATAACCCAGCTGTGTTCAGGGTTGGGGGGCAGGGTATTCTCTGTACAAGGCTTTAAAAATTAGTCATGCGGTCAGAATGTAGCTTTCCCACATGTCCTCCGCAGCACAGTATGTATTTCATGAGCATAATTCAAAAACAACTATTCCAAAAATGTCCCTTTTCATATATTACCTTCCTGGCTGGGCCAGGGACTCGGACAAACACAGAGAAAGCAAATACTGTCCAGCCTCATTTTATCCTTCAATCTCCATGCGCAAGCTCACCAGAGGAGACTGTTATTTTAATAGCTAACCTGGAATTAGCTGCCATTTTGTTGCCCCTTCCCATCAAGTATTCCGTGTGCAAGCTGGGTCTCAGAAAACACGACAGAGCTGGATGATGAAAGAAAGTTCTTTTCTATTGTGGTTTCAGGGCCAGATTGAAAAGTCAGCCAGCAAGAGTGACTCCAGGTCCCCCGGTATCACTTTTATAAATATGTATTTTATGAAAATCACTTTTATGATATTTTATGAATATCTCCAAGCTCTTGTAAAATTGTCACCTTCCCTGCCACCCATGGGCTGCTGAAACACCTGTCTTCCCCTTGGCTCTCAGTAGAGAAGTCATTAGGCTTTTTAGGGGGACTCCTCTATCTGGTTTAAGGAAACTGTTGGCCTTGCCAAAAATCTGTCATTCGAAACATAGGTGGAAAGTCTTGGTCACAACTCTAGTGTTGAAGATGCTAGAGCTGCCACCCACAGGTAAATGGGAAACAATGGCCTTCCCTGACTACAGGCCACAAGGACTGGGGGTCTGGAAAGGAGGAACGTGTTCCGCACAGAGCAAGCAGTTATGAAAACAGCAGGAAATGGGTGATGAGAAACGGGTATAGCAGCAGCGTGGAATTTTCACAGGCTTTCCTCTGTCTGAAGAGATAGCCTGAGCCTGGTCCAGTCTCCTCAAAGAGGGGCACTCAGACAAGACACAGGGCCATACCCAGCCCAGCTGGAGCAGTCAGACTCATGCTGGCCATCAGCACTGCGACAGATGTCCAAGTCAGCTTGCCTGCACTTCAGAACATTCATTCAAGGGCTCTTGAGTGGGTGCCAGAACTATGGGTGACACTTCATTTAGGCTTAGGGAGATGGAAAAAAAAGAACAAAAACAAAAGCATGGCCTGTTTTATTTTTTTGCTTTGGGTCAGAAGATTTGGAACACAAGAAAACACACTTGACAAAGATGCCATTTATTGGGATGCTTGGTTCAGCATTCGGATGACCTGTATACACCTAGCAAGGTCTTGTATGTTTATAGCAACTTTGATTCTTGAAAAGGTGTCTCTGCCATCTGCCCTTGTAATGGTACACATACCCCATGGTGCTCTTGGCTCGGCTCCTGGGCTCTGGGGTAGAAGGCATCCCAGAGTTCTCTCTGCCATCTGCAATTGGCGTTAAGATTTCAGCTTCTTATCCTACATTTACACTGTAATATGCCCATCGATGCAATAAACTTAGCCAAGACCTACTGTCAATGATATAGTTTAGACTGAAAGAAACTCCATTGCTCCTCTTCATAAGACCTTCATTCTAGCAAGAAATCTACTCTTTGGTCACTGGGAGCTACTAATTTATCACTCACAGATGGCCAAATACCAACCTGTCAGGGGCACAGCATCCCTACCAACTTGTCACTGGCTCCCAGCATGTGTAGACGGTGTAGGCTGCCGGCAATGCAGCCATTAGTCCCATGTAACTAGATCTGTGATCCACACACTCCGGTGTATCCTCTTAGAAGCAGGGAAAAAAAGGGAGATGGGGAAGGAAACTAAAGTTGAAGACACTAACTGCGAAAGGGATCCAAGTTGCCAACGTCTTATCTTCGGGTGTGTCACATGGGTAGTTGAAAGAAAGTATCCTCAATGTCCTCCTCAAAACCAGGCTCAAGGGATGCTCTGGGTGGGTGTGTGGATTTAAAGTTCTCGGTCCCATCCACATTCTTCATCCAAGAGTATTTTGCAGCAGTCATACTTTGACAGGTGAACAGTAATAAGATGCCAGAAATGGTCCTATTGGTGCACCCCCATCTTAAGCCACGTTTCTTTGTCCATTCTTCCTGGACTCCCCAGATCCCCTCGAAGGACCCATTCCCAGCAAACACCTAGCAGAAGTTTGACCTGGGACCCCACATTCCTATCCAGTGTGAGTCATATACTCTTACTTCCAGTTAAGTCCCTATCACATGGTCATCCCTGGGGCACCTAAATGTGCCGTTCACTACCACTTTTCCAGGTTCATAGAAAGCAGCCATCCGGTACAATCTCAGGTGTTATAGCAAAAGCACAAACAGGGTGCCGGGGAATTCCTTTCCAAGGCCAATTTAATTGTGAGGTAATCACAGACGGCTTCAGGGAGGGGACCTTGCTGTTGGTCTGTTTCTGGTCACCAAATACCAGTGTGAGTTATAAAGAAAGGAAGATGATTTTGATTGACAGCTCTGGAGAAACTACGGCAAGGAGCCACATCGAGGGATAACTCTCTTGTGAGTACGGCACATAGGTGACGTGGAGGGAGGGGCAACGGGGGTCCGAAACTGGAAGAGCATGTGCGCATGCTCTCTGTTTGCTCGGCTTATAAAGCACCTGGATTCAATCATGAAGGTTTTACTCTAATGACTGGATGCAATTTGAATTACCTTTAAAAGACCCCGCCTCTTTCAACTCCCACAAGGCCTCTAATAAGGGTTAGAGTTCACACAGTGAAACTTGGAGTCTGGCCTCAAGCCCCAACAGAGCCCTAAACCAGAGTCTGAAGACTGGAGGTGGGAAGAAGGCATTCATAACCGTGAGAAGAATGCACCAATATTCAGAAAGTATGACTGACCCCGGCATGATGGCGGCTTAGCTTACCCCAGTGAGGCAGCAGACAACCCCAGAACTGAGCCTTGCCAACCTACCACTATGGTTTTAGGAAAGGACAGGACCAACCTAACTCACAGCTGCAAGATTGCATGAAAACCAAACAGCCCCATCCCAGCACTGAACAAGGAGAAGATGGAGCAGGAAAGCTCTTAAGGAAGCCAGCCCGGCTATCTGGCATATGTTATGCCAGAAATATAGGCAAACATGCCCGTATCTTCCCACTAAGTCAGAATTTGTTGCATAACAATAAATTCATAAGGTTTAGTGTGTTTAATGGCAGCAGTCTGCCATAAAACCCATCTCACTAGACAGACTGACCAAGGTAGATATGGGTTCTTTTAGTCCCATCTTAATTGCTAATATTAACTAACACTCATAACACACACATACACACACAGAGAGTTATGTGTGTATGTGCATGAATACAAGTTAAAGCAGCTGCAACTGAGTTTAAGAAGTTTTGAAAGTTGAGGAAAGGTCTGCATAGATAATGAACCCGACCCATTGGTGGAAGCTGCTGGTACCAGGCTCGAAGGAGATGCTGGAGAATCCAGAAAAGGCTGGCCTGAGTCTGGAGCAGGTAGTGGAGCAGGAGCAGGAAATGGGTCATGTCTAGGCACAAACAGGTGCATGAGCAGGCATCATAGGCTGCTCCGACCTATAAGGGAATGGGATGGGGATGGAGGGTTAATTAATCCAGTGGACGAGTCCCTGAGGCACACACAGGTGTTGGATGACAGGTTGGAACGCAACTGTACCATCACAGTGTTTGGTGTTCATCTCCTTATGGAATGGGAGAGATGCACCCTTTCCTCAATTGGGTATGCCAGTTAAGTTTGGGGCTTGCTTTCCCTCGATAATCTTAATGCACCCCTGTGCTTCTATAATCTCTGTTCTCTCCCAGTAAATTTACAGGGCAGCTCCCTTTCTAGTCCCACCAATGAGTCACGTGTTGGTGTGTGCTGGATGGATGATACCGGCAGATGGTACAATCTCCAGGTCCACCCAGAGGTTTCAGTCAACCTCTGCCTTCAGATTGGGGGGGGGGAAGTTGCTTGTAAAATGTGGTTTCCCAAGGCAAAGCACAGCCTGAAAAAAAAACAAACAACAACAACAGCAAAACAAAAAAACAACAAAAAAAACTAACATGGCTTTATACAACATAGAATAACTTAGAGCCTGACACAGCCTGGTCTCAACACCAGTCTTGAGCTGAAATACAATTGCCCTCTCAGCGATTAGCAGAGGCAGCATCCCAGGCAAACAAAAGAACCAGTCACATGTAGTCCCAGCGCAACCAGGAATGTCCTGCTTGCACATCTCATGGCTCTCTTCCTGTGGGGAAAATATCCTCTCCTAGGTTGCTTCTCTTTGCTCTGGGGGAAAAAAGGAGGGGGAGAGAAGGAAGAGAAGGGAGAGAAGTGGAGGAAGAGAAAAGAAAGGAGGGAGAGGAAGGGAAAGATGGAGGGAGGGAGGCAAGAAGGAGATTCGCTGACCCTGAAAACCACTCTCTCCTACCTTCTTCCTAGACACGTCCACATTGTCACCTTTCCTTGATAGCAGGGTGATAATTAATGTTCCACCCAAGAGAGGTTTCGTTTTTCCACCAGAATTACCTATTAATTTGCTAGATTCTTCTGATTAAGCAGTGCGCCTGTCAGTGTGGGCTCATCATTCCGCACACCCTTTCATTTTCAACAACTAAATCAAGGCCCCACCGAACCCAGACATTTTCAATTTCCTCCCTCGCCGTGCGGATGCTCCCGTGTCTTTTAATAACGTCCTCGAGTCAGCTTCTGTCTCCCTGAGCAAAGCTGATTCTGCTTCATAAAAACCGCTATTGTTTCCACCTATCCACTCTATAGAGGAAGCAGCCGTTCGCATCCATGCCTGGAAATGGAAACCTGAAGACTCCCCGCTTGAGAGGAAGGCCTCGTGGTAACACACGGATATACCCGCCTGTTCAAAGGTCTTCTTTCCCCGGAGATTTTCGGGTGTGCTC